TCTCACCTGCCCCGGTGCCTTCTGCCCCGGCATCCGGGCCCAGCCGGTCACCCCCGCGAGGGCCCCGACCCCGTCCCGCAGCGAGGGAACCTCCTGAGCTCCTCCCCGTCCTCCCCGAGGCTGTCCCCGTGGGAGAGACCCCGCGGTGTTATTCCCAGTAAAGGTGCCCCTCCGCCCCTGCCGCAGGCATGGAAGCAGCTGTCCCGGCTCCAGCGGAATGCGATCCTCTCCGCCCTGGCCTTTCTGCTGTGCTGCGGGCTCCTGTCCTACCTCAGCGCGGCCGACCCGTGGACAGGTACCTGCTCCGGGGGCAGCGGAGGAGCCGAGGCGGCTGCAGCTGAAACTGCCCAGGAGCCGTGAAGGGCGGGGAATGGGCACCCCCAGGTTAAGAGGGGCGTGGCGTCCCCAGCCTCCTGGCTGGACACGGGCGCTGCTGCCAATCCTCTGGCTGCTCCCGCGTCTGCCGTGGGCAGGTGTCCGCCCGCTGCCCTGCGGTGGAGGCTCGAGGTCACCTCCCGTGGTTCTCAGGACCCGAGCAGCCCTGTGTCCAGAAAGGACGAGAGGACGGCCGGGAGGGGCAGGGAGGTGTCCTCCCCACGTGCAGACACCCAGGCAGCGCAGTGGGGCTGTGGGTGGGGAGGCGGACGGACAGCCACGGGCTCGGAGAAGGTGCTCGCCCTCGGCTGTTCTTAATGCACAGGGGACGGCCCGAGGCCTGGGGGACCCTCGGTGAAGCAGCAGGAAGCGCCGTCTGGGTGTCCCCCACGGAGGCTCTGAGGTCCTCGGGGCCTGGGCGCTGGGCTGAGGAGGTTCTCTGGTTCAGCCCCGAACAGCAGGCCAACGGAGGAGCAGAAGGGGAGGCCCGCACACCCGCCCGTCTTGCCGGCTCCTCGGAAGGCAGATGCCGACCCGGTGGCTCCGTGCCAGAGGCCTCGGGACAGGACGCAGGGCTCACACCGATGGCGAGGATGCCTGTTCCCGCCGTCTGATGGGTGTGTCACCCCCATGCTCCTCCGGGCGGGTGGGCGACCCTGGGAAGGAGGAGGCGGGTCTTCCCTTCGACCTCGGCTGCGCGCCTGCTGGTCCCGGGGCCTGGGTTTGGTGGTGAACAGAGCAGACTGTCCTCTCCCTGGGCCGGGGCAGCCTCCCTGAGAACAGGACCCGGAGCAGCACTGGGAGGCTGAGGGCCTGCCTCTGGGGAGAGTTGAGAGCAGGTCGGGGGCTGAGACCCAGCAGGGCCTGGACGCGGAAGGGGCCAACCAGGCCAGTCCAGGCCGGGCCCTGTGAGTCCTGGGCCTGTGCCAGCAGAGACGTTCAGGCCAGGGCTTAGCCCTCACCCAGGGGCACCAGCCGTGTACAGTCTCCACCCAGGTCAGGGGCAGAAGACGGGGTGAAAGGCCCTTCAATCTGCGGGTCACTGTGAGGAGGAAGAGTCCAGCGTGTGCACAGCCCGGGGGTCGGGTCTGATGGGAGAGACCCCGGTGGACAGGGAATGGCAGCCGGTGGGCAGGGAGCTCCTCTCACTGTGACCTTCCCTGTGATGTTCGTCCAGAAGCCTCAAAGGCACGTGCGGCGGGGCCCCCCCAACCTGCAGATCAGAGCGCCCCACAGAGACGCGGAGGATGGCAGGAGGAGGGACGAGGCGGCGGACGAGGCTCGCCAGGGAGAAGACCCGCCGAGGACCGTCGTCAGGTACCCGGAGCCGCAGGGAGCGCCGGGCGGGGGCTGCCTGTGGCGTGTCTTCTGGAAAAGAAGCCAAAAGGGAACAGCACCTGGCAGACCTGTGTCTTCCCTTTGAAGCGACAACTCACGCCCATCCTGCAGGGGGCCTGGGGGCGGGGGGACTGGGCCCCGTCGCGGCACCTCCTCGCCGGTCCTGCCCTGGGATGCTGACCTCCTCTCCCTGCAGCTGGCGGGGAGCAGTGATCGAGCCGGAGCCGGGCACCCAGGCTCCTTCCCGGAAGGCAGAGGCCCCTGCCCGGCCCTCTCTGCAGGACCCCAGGATTCAGAACCAACGAGGTGAGGCCCCCTGCGCCCTCTTGGGCCCCACCTGGGCATCCTGCGGGCGAGGGCACGTGGACACAGATGCATCCCTGGCGAGGGCAGAGTGCCGGCCATCCCCCTGGGGCCGCAGCCCCTGCACGCAGGGCACACACTCCTCAGAGCTTAGGCGGCGACACGTGGCTTTCTTGTTTTCTTAACGTGTTTTATGGATTTCCAAAAGAAAAGAGAGAGGGAGAGATGGAACCATAATTGACGAGAGAATCATTGATTGGCTGCCTCCTGCACAGCCCCTGCGGGGGATTGAGTCCACAATCTGGGCAGGTGCCCTGACCAGGAATCAAACCGATGCTCAGCCACTGAGCCACGCCGGCCGGGCAGCAAGGGGCCTTTTGAGGCTGGTGCCCATGTCCAGGCTGAGGCAACGGGAATGCGTGTGGGCGGCTTGCTTTCCCGCCCGCGGCAGCTCCCGGGCCTGAGAGACGTGGGCAGCTGCGTGGGTGCCTGCATTCAGGCACCGTGGCTGGGGGCCCACTGGGTGCCGGCACTTCTGGGGAAGGACGCAGGAGCCCAGAGCTGGGCTGGCGGCCAGGCCTGTCGGGGACACTGAGGGCCTCTGCCCCACAGAGCGGACACACGGTGTGAAGCCAGTGACACTCGGACCTCACGCGTCTCCTCTTGGAAGACGCCAGGTGCGGGCTCACGAGAGGCGGGTGGTCTGGTCCTCGTCACGACACCCGTCACGGTGGACGTTCCGCGCCCACGTTGTCAGCGCAGCCAGTGACTGGTCTGCGGCCTGAAACGCTCTGCTCGCCGGGGCTCCCTGTGGCCCGGCAGGGGGACTGGACAGGCCTGGTGGACATGAGTCCGAGCTGCCTTGTGAGGCCCCAGCGCCCCTCCACCTCCACAGCCCTGTCCAGCTCTGAGGGCCTCACTCTGGGGCCGTCCCGACCTTCATGCTGCCCGCTGCTGCCCTGTGGCCCTGGACAGTGCTCCCCGGCTCCTCAGCCTCCCTGCTTGGGGCCCCAGAGGGACTGTCCTCCCTGACCAGGTCCTGTCCCCCTGACCCGCTCCCCCCGCAGCCTCCCCTAACGAGCGCCAGCAGGCCGTCATAGACGCCTTCCGCCACGCGTGGGCCGGATACCGCAAGTTTGCCTGGGGCCACGACGAGCTGAAGCCCGTGTCCAAGTCCTTCAGCGAGTGGTTCGGCCTCGGCCTCACGCTGGTCGACTCCCTGGACACCATGTGGATCCTGGGTCTGAAGAAAGGTACCTGTCCCCCAGCTCCCGCCGAGCGCCCGCATGTGACGGCGGGCAAGTGAGCGCGCGTGCCCGGAGGTCCCGCCTACCGTGTCCGCCGACGTGCCTCCTTCCCTGGGGGACAGGAGCGGGCTTGCTGGTTGTGGGGACTCTCTGTCACCTCACATCCAGGCGTCCTGGGGGCACTCAGGGCAGCAGAGAGGCCCCTGCCGAGAGCCAAGTGGACCCTGGTGGGCGCCCAGCGGCCTTCCCGCCGGGGTTTCTGCTGCAGCTGGGAGGGCCCCGAGTGGGAGGTGGCACGTGGTCTGATGTAGCTGCCAGCACCCGGAACCGTCCTCGATGTCCACCTTGTGCCGCAGCTGGGGGCAAACTGGGACTGGGCGTCATCGGTTATTTCTAAACCGACGTTGGCTGAGAAGGCTGGAGGCCGCCACTGAGCCACCCCCGTGTCCTTGTGCCGTGGCCTCTGACGCCGACCACTTGTGCTCACGGCTGAGGTGGCTCCCCGGCTGCACGCTGGCCCGTCAGCTCAGACCCGAAGACTCGGGTTCCTGCCTTGGCACCCTCAGCAGAAAGGTGGACAGGAGCACGCGTGTCGCCCGGGGTGGGAGGCCCGAGGGCAGTGCTGGGCCCGCGAGCGTGTCCTGTGCCCTCTCCCTCTCTGGTTCCCGTAGAATTCGGAGAAGCCCGGAGGTGGGTGTCCGAGAAGCTGCAGTTTCAGAAGGACGTGGACGTGAACCTGTTTGAGAGCACCATCCGCATTCTGGGGGGCCTGCTCAGCGCCTACCACCTGACGGGGGACGCGCTCTTCCTGCAGAAAGCCGTGCGTGCCCGCCGGGCCCGGGGCTGGGCCTCGCCTGCTCCCTGTCTCCTCTCTCCGGGGGCTCTGGGCGGGGCTGTTCCACTTCCCTTCCCTCGCGCCCACTCGTCTGTCTTGGCAGGAGCTGAGCCGAGTGCATGCCCGTCCCCTGCAGCCACAGGGACACGCTGGGCTCGGAGCCCAGCCCCTTGGCTGCGTGGAGGGCGAGCTCCTGAGGGTGGGAGCGGGTGGCGGTCCGCGCTGTGGGAGGGAGACGCCCTCTCTGAGCGCCAGCACTGACCTCGCTGTGTGTGCATCAGGAAGACTTTGGGAATCGGCTGATGCCTGCGTTCCGCACGCCCTCCAAGATCCCGTACTCGGACGTGAACATCGGCACTGGCGTGGCCCACCCGCCCTGGTGGACGTCCGACAGCACGGTGGCCGAGGTGACGAGCATCCAGCTGGAGTTCCGCGAGCTCTCTCGTCTCACGGGCGTCAAGAAATTCCAGGTAAGGCCCGGTGTCTGGCGGAGTCGCCGG